TTTTTTTTTGCTTTAACTGATGTTTAGATTTCTTGATTAGATACTCATAAAAGCATAGTTCCAGCTTTCAGGACAAATTTCTTCTCCCAAAATATCGTAAAACCGTTGCAGCTCTAAAAAAGTGCTCGTACTATATTTATTTCTTTAAGAAATAATGAAAAATATTTCTTGTGATTTTTCATGAGAAATACTAAATAGAAATTAAGCTTTAGGATGAAAAATCATTTGCATATATACACTGCCGTAAAAAAGTATTGGCACAGCAAATTTTTCACAATATATGCGAAAGTTTTTTTTTTCTAATATTTTTTCGTAAATTTTTTTTTAATATATGATTCATTCTACGACCAAAAACATAAAAATATAATTCCTAAACTTTGTGCAAAACTCGTGCAATTTTCATGCAATTTTCCACTTTTTAATTAGTGGAATATTAGAATTTTGAGTATGCAGTTTGCAGCCCATTTGCAGCACGTTCAGAGTTAGTCAAAAATCGCATTTATTTTTGAGACTTTTTTTTTGTTGAAGGTGTTTTGCATTTTTTTCCATATAAAGTATTTTCGAAAACAAATTTTTTATGGAAGAGACTGCGTGAAAAAATTGCCAAAAATTAACGGTTCATAGCTACTTAAGACCTGTACTTTATTATAATAAAATTGATTGAGCTACAAATCTGCATACTCAAAAAAGTTCCAGAAAATCTGATTAAAAAGATGAAAATTTGCATGAAAATTTGCAGAATTTTCGTGAATTTTGCCAAAGTTTAGGAATTATATTTTTATGCTTTTTGCTGTAGAGTGAAAAAAAAAATTTATAAAAAATTGCCGGAAAAATATTAGAAAAATTTGTTCGCATATATTGTGAAAAATTTGCTGTGCCAATACTTTTTGCTGACGGTTTATGTATTTCTTTACTAATTAAAATTCGAGCAGTACTGTTAAAGAGCGGTAAGGTACAAGAAATTGATAAAAAAAAATGTTTTCTATTTATAGCTAAAATACGCGCATTTATTCTGTTCCTCCTACATTCACTTCCTTATTCTTCTTCGCTCTCAATTGAAAGTAGAAAAATTTCCGCTAATCATTAAATTCGAATAAATATGAAATAAGAAAAATACTACATAGGACTTCATTCACCTTTGGCCGCTGTTTACATATTCACTACCAAACAATTTTATAGCACAAAAATGAACACAATATATTCGTACTTACATGCAATTGATAAACCGGATTAGGATACAAAAGCTGATTTATTATCGCATCCAGGTCGTAGGGTGGGGCAGCGGGACCGTCCACATCAACAGCGGCAGCCTTAACCGCGCACGGTTGTTGTAGCTACAACGAAAGATTTGGAAAAAATAAAGTAAATAAACTGACTGCCAGAATGAAAGAACGATAGAATGCAAAAATGAATGAATGATTGTGCGATTGAGTAAGTGGGCGCGTAAGAGAGCCAATGGGTGAGTAAGAGAGCCAGTGGGCGGGATAGATGGTGTGCATTGATTGAAGCAGCGTTTAATTCAAAAGCGTAAAAGAACGAATGAATGCGTTGCTAACAAAACTGTTGCTGTTAGAATGCAAAACGAAAAAAATATACAGACATTATGCCATAAAATGCAGAGGTAAAGTTAAAATTGTTTTACACAATAACAGCAACAAAACTTATGTAGATTATAAGAGAGCTCAAGTTACGCTTGTAAGTTTGACGTAAACGCGAAACGTAAACGTGAAGGATGTTGGGATTTGAAAGTTAAATTGAAAAGTGAAATACAAATCCTCTTCCTTCACTTTCACTTTCACTTTTAGTTTTATTTTTATTTTTCTTGTAAAATTCTCAAGTCATCTCAATTTCTATTTCCCTTTTCGTTTGAAATCTAATCAAACATATCGCTAATAGAAGGCAATTTGTAGTTGTATTGCTGGTGATTGCTTGTTGAGGAGTATGTGTTGGTTTGGTTTGTGAAAATTTGCTTCGGTCATGCCTGCCTAATTAACTCTTACAATCAGTTGATAAGGGTCGCGGGTGATATTTCATAAAGGTTTCTCTACTTAAGCATTCTTTTTTTGAAGATTAGTTTTTTAATCTTTTTTATTTATTGAATTTTTTCCCCTCCTTTAAGTTTTTCAAAAAGGTTTGAGTGTCATTTTAAAATGCACTTTTCGTTCTTCAGTTAAAAACATAGGAGCACTTGCTGTCGTAGCCGAGTGGTGAGAGCCGCGTACTACAACCCTGTAGGGCCTGGGTTCTATGGAAGGACAGAACAACGTCCAAATGGATATAAAGCTCATACAGCTCAGCAAATCTTCCGAATAATCTTGCCTTAATTGTGCGAAGTTGGTACATATATAGTGACCGGGAGATGTGGTACTATTGCTAGCATATGTTGGTTTATTGAAGAGTTCATTTCGGGAGCAGGTGGGAATTTCGAGTAGCTAAGATGCTGGCTTCCCATCGAGATTTCCGCCTTTCCATTGCTGACTGCCTGATTCCAGTTGAGAAATGAGGCGCACTAAGAGTACAACTCCACAACAAGCCTTTCATACGTTCAGCGCTTTTCTGGCTTTCAGCTACACAATTCAGCTTGTTGCGGAGTTCCTCAATAGTGGCCATCCAAAAATAAATAACTACACATGCACAAACAATGTGGGCAATCAAAAACACATTCACACGTTTTTAAATATTTGAGCTAAAAAAAATTCCAAAAAAATAGAGGCTCTAAAAAAGGCAAAGAAAACTTTTCGCAAGCATACCAAGTTGGTAGGACGTTTAACTCCTATTCGTTGGTTTAATGTGACTTGTATTGAAAATCATTCGGAAAACTCTGTTTCTCTTCAGGAGACTTCCAGAAATGTTACCCAATTGTTTATTTAAACATTTGTTAATATAAACGATTTTTTAATGGACCCCCATTGCATTTTGTGGGGTTTTTGGCGGGCCTATAAAATATAGTTATTATGAAAAAATAGTATTGGGTATTATTATTGGGAAAAAAGAACCCGAGTTTTCCGATTGAAAAATATTTATTTTCAATAGAACAATTCTGGAGGGTGAGAGCCTAAAAATTCCGCCGATACTTTTTTTACATGCATTTCTGGACCACCCTAATGTACATACACATATACATACATATCGACATATGTAAGCCTGCTATGCCAAATCAATGCAGCCACCTGCGAATTTTACACCGACGCTGCCAGCAGATAGCGTAAGTTGTGAATTATTATGACTTGCACGTGTGCACGCTCACATATGCAAGACTACATACAAATATATACATATATACGTCTGCGTGATTTTAATAAAATTGTGTGCGAATTGTCTGCGTATTGGTAATGTCAGCGTTGATTTGTGTTTCTTTTCATTTTATTTACTTTGCTTTCTCTCGCTTTGTTTGCAACCCTTTTTCATACTTCCATGCTTTTCATATTTGTTCTTTTTTGCATACATTTACATATGCTGATAATATATACACATGTATATCCATTCCTTATACTCAAATTTATCACATTCTTTTGCATGCTGCTATGCAGGCATTAATATTAAACCAATAAAGCTGAAACTTTTCACCTTTTTACAAAATTATTCATTTATTTTTTGCACGGCTGGCACGTAGCATGCTGCAATAATATTGTGTTAAGTGTTTAAATATCGTGATTGCACTTTAAAAGTTCAATAATGCGAATATTGTTGGAAGAGAAATTTATGAGCATCCATCTCTTTATAGTCACTGCCTACCTGTGAGTATTTCACATGGGACACCGCTACGTATGAGTAATATTTAGTGGATATAGAGTTGGGTGGCTGTGCTGTGCTGTTAAAAGTGTTGCGTGCGCGCACGTATGTAACGGGTGATTTTTTTGAGGTTAGGATTTTCATGCATTAGT